CACCTTATTAAATTATTTCGTCCAATTCTTCTTTTCTCTCTTTCGTTCTGTCACATTTTACATTTCATTCTTTATAATTATATTACTTTCGTATTCTCAAAATATCATTGTTTCTGAGGTTACCGTAATAATAACCGTTTATACAATCACACAACTCACACACATAATCCGTCATACTACTCCCTCCCCCAAGCTTTCGAACGACATCACCTGCAATAGCATAGCGGTTTTGGATCCGGAATAACATAAAACAATAACAATCAAAAGCGTTTCATACGCGACCTACGTTTATGCAGCAAAATGTTCCTTATCCTCCCTCTGCAATCTAGATTCATCGAATAAACGAATCTCGAAACAATTCGCGTAGCATTGTGCAAACGCGCGCTCAATTACGTCGTGTTTCTCTTTAACCGAGGCGAAATAAAAACAGCGACATTACCCGTGTATCGGATCTCTATATAATAAATAAACAATATAGTTGATGTTGAACCATGAAAAAAAAAAAGAAAAAGACGAAAAGGGGCAAAAAAAAAAACCGTTACCATGCGTGAAAACAGGGCGACCGGGTGCAAACTCAATTACTGCCACCGAAATTAAATTTCACCGGTGCTTTGTAAGGTTTGCGCGGGAAAAAAGGAAGAAGGAGGGGAGAAGGGAGGAAAGCCCTCGTTCCCATGTTGAATTTCGTTTGCTTCTTTCGTGCGCCACGGTGAACGACGAAATTACTTTTAAAAAATTCTGAAATTCGTATGATCTTTTCGAGACGGGGGGAGGGGAAGTAAAATAGTATATATGTATATATATGTATATGTATGCTACGTGTCGATATCGTTTCACTCGAAACATTTGCCTAATTTAATAGAGAGAATTGAATAAGACTCTCTTATTTATTCAGAAAGGAGCAACAATTTATAATACAATTTATAATACATTCAAATCAACTGCGTTCATCTTTCAATTCCTCTTTCATTTTTCAGAATTCCTCTTTTCATTTTCAACGACAATTTTTCAAAAAGGTTCAAAAACCTCGACATTTCTATCGTTTCAAAAAAATTTCAATCTTTCAATCTTCGAGAAGATACCCCGCGATCCGGCACAATAAAACTCGCGGGAAAAGGTCCGCGCCAGACTCATCGCTCACCGTGGAAAATCGTGTGGAAGCCCTGGCTAATGAAATAAAATGGAAGAAAAAGCCGGAGGGAACGAGGCGTGTCTCTATTTAAACCTCCTTAGCTAAGTGATAAGATGAATTACGGGGTGAACTGGCGCCGACATCGGCCTCGTCTCGTTCATCTGGAACAATCTCTGGCCGCTTGCTTCTTGTTTATCGTCTCGAGGAGGAGGAGCACAGCAGGGGATACCGTTTCCTCTTCGTGTCGGCCGTTGCCACTCGACGTTAATCCACCCGCGTCCACGAAAAATACGAAATATCCTGGCTTTTCAATTCGACACTGTCGCTCCTGATACGAGACACGTTATAACATCCGTGTCGCTTCTCTGTCCAATAATTCTCGACAACTTGGCTCGTTCCTACACATTTATTTGGTCACACTCGTCCACTACGCGACCCCTTCGAAAGGGAGGACGTTTCGATTGACGTTTCGAAGATACGAATTGTGATGCGATACGCGCTTGTTTCGTTTGAGAGCATTGTATAATGAAGAGTATATTCGAAGAAAAATTGTGGGTGTTTTAAATAATTTCGTGGGAAAAAAAATTGGTCAACAATCAGTTCGAAGAATATCATTTTCAAGAGTTCTCTTCTTTCTACTTTTACAGTCGAACGACAGTTCGTTTGTCTCGAAGATATTTTTATATCAGGAAAAATAAGAGAAGTAAAGAAGTATTTTTCTTCCGGGAATTTTGAAAAATTTACTTCAAACTGATTGAATTCATAATAGATTTGAAGATTCGAGTTTCCTCTCTTTACAAAGATTTTTTTTTTTTGGAAACGAATTAAAAATTATTGTTCTCAATATTACAAAAAATATTTAATTCATTAGCTTGTTTGAGTATCGAGTTTTAGAATTATCTTTTTCTATCGATTTTGGAATAAATCGATAGAAAGAGATTAAGAGAGAAAAATTAAATAAAATTAACATACATTGAATCTATTATACAATTTAATAAATCACGATTTAATGAATGGAGATATTAGGACAGATTTTAATTCATCTTCATTTCATTTTCAAATATATTTTTTAAATAATGCATAAACTTATATCGATAAATAATAATAAAAAAAATTGTTTAAGAGAAATAAATTAAGATAAAAAATTGTCCGAATAAGCATACCATTGTATCGATACACTCTATCTGGTATCTTTGACTAGAAAACGAGATTCAGCAAATTGGTTGCATTGGACATTCTGTCACACTCGATAACGTGGCTTGAATCTCGAATGCGAGGCAGGTAAAAATTGTCTTTATCATCCGTTCCCACCATTGCTTCCCCTTACTCCATTTCTATTTTGTTTTCGTTACATTTTACATTTTTGTACGTACGTGTCTTGTATATTCTTGCGCTCGAACGTGCCCGTACGTCACATCGTTGTGCACAAGATTTCTTTTATTCTTCCTTTCATTCCTTTCTCAACAAATAATGTTTATCCAATTTATGAAAAAAAATCACGATGAGATTTTTTTCGTAAGAAGATTCTTATAGAAAGTGATTTTTATATAAAACCTTTTACATAAAATTTAAATATAGATTTTTCGACAAAAGTTTCAATAGACATAAATTTTACATTTGACTTTTTTTTTAAAGATCATTTCAATATCTATTACGTATATTTAAATAAAAAAAATTCATTTATATTACAATAATTTTAACAATAATAATATATTTTAATACGAATCATGTATAAAATATCATTCATACAATCTTAAAAAATTATTGCTAATAAATTAATGATCTAATGTCGCAAGTAAATTTCAAAGGAAACAGAAATAAAACACCATCAAGTTGCTATTATTCGAAAACCCTTCTACAAAAAAAAAAAATTATTTTTTGTCCAACATTAGACAACTGGAAATAACGTCGAAGAGATGCAGGACAAGAAATCCTGGAATTTCTCGTTTCTGGAATAGAAACGAAGACAACGAAGGTGCGAATTCGTTTCGATTTTCGCCCCTTAAGGGAAACTGATTTGATTCCCTCCTCTCCTTCTTTCCTTACATTTCTTCCTCCGCTTCTCTTTTTTCGAGCTCGCGCGAAATAGCGGCTTTTGAATTTTGAACACGCGAGAAATCTCATTCTCCACGAGCGCGAGGCTCCAAGAACTCGATGGCCATCACTCGCGAAGAAGTTGGAAAATTTATTACGCGTTTCCTTCCGTTAACACGTGCAACATCCGTCAGAATGTTTCTCGTTTCCAAGTGTAAAGTATAAAACAGTTTCGCGAAACGTATGCAATCTACACTTGGTAAAGTAGATTTTTAAACCAGTGGAGCATGGAATGCGGTTGTTATGGCATCCACCGGCTTCCGAGAAGGTTTCATTGTAAACTTCGTAAAGTGTAGGATGAATTTTGCAAAGTGATTCGAGCTTAAAATATTTGCCAAGAAATGCTTGCCCATTTCTCTCTGTGACGGTTAATTAAGTTCTCTCTTACGTCGCTTAATAATACACGATTTAATTATATTGAATCTATATCGAAGAAACGAAATTCGTAGATCGATCAGCGTGATTGGTAACTACGAATATTTACACGTGAATATATAGTTTCGATTTACTTACCTTTATTCTCTGTTTTTAAATTAACCTTCATTCATTAAAAACATTCGAAAAACTTTTACTTAAAAAAGAAAGATTCTAAAAAAAAAAGAAGAATTTTCATGATTCATCGTAAGTCGAGAATCTACGATAAAAAAATTCCGCGTAATGGGAAGGTTCCAAGAAGGTTCTCGGCGAGGGAACGTTCTGTCGCGAGATAATACTGCTCGGTATTAGCTCAGCGATGAATTTCACGATTCGCTCTACTTTTATTTCGAAAGAGACGCGAAATGGATCCTTTCACGGGTAACCGTGAGTACAATGCGGCTTTCCTCTGCAGAGGTCGGTAACTTCGCTTTAATTGTCGTCTATCTGATCGCGGAGCGAATCGAGACAATACGCCGATAAGGGTGTGGAAAGAGCGATAAAACGAAGAGCAAGAAGGGGTCGATTTAAGCGATCGTGGCACGCGGGATATATCCGTGGAAAAATTCGACGACGCTTGAGGTCGAGCGGAAGAAATGTATCGAAGCGGCATGTAAGAAGCTCTCGAAAGCGTTCTCGATACGAACGTGTACTCACGCATGCAGGCGAAATTTGTTCTTCGATATCATAGATCTCTGGATATCATAGATGTACATACCTGAAACAAAGGGAAGGAAGTATTAGGTGAAAATTGTATCAGATTGATGGAATATCGTTTTTTGAAGAAATATCGTGTGTATTTTTTTTTTTAATTTCTCAATCAATAATTATTATTATTCAATTTATTATATTATTATATAATAATATTACGAGGATTTTAAGATAAGAAACTTGGAAAATAATAATTATTTTTCTAATATTTCATTATGCTATAGGTTCCTAGCAAATTTGATATTGCGTAAAAATTCACAATTTATTAATCTCTAATTACTCTTGCGAGTAATGAGAGATTTTAGTTAAAACTAAATTGGCGCGATTTTAAGATTTCCATAATACAATTTCAAGTTTGAGAATTCTGAGTTTTGCGTTACAAAGTTCGTATAACACGAGCGTAGAGAAGTGAGGGTTAGATAATAGCGAACACGATACCCAAGGAAAGTTTGGATATTAAATTTAAAAAGCAATTTGAAAAATTTGTTGTGAAAAGATGTTTTTTGTACCCAATATATTATCATTCAGTCTCTCCCTTAACTTAATATCTACGTCATTTAAGGTATATTTATCAAACAATTTTTTGTAATAAATTCAAATTAACAATACTTTAAAAATGTCAAAAATTTTAATACCGCTATATTTTAACCTAAAAATTTGTATCAATGATGAACGCGAAATCAAAACAATTATTTCACACAAAATCATTTATAAAACTTGCTATTCAAAATATCGAATCGTTGCATAACAATCGTATTATAAATTTCTTTGATTCTCTCAGAAGAGAAAATCTACAATCCTTCGAATTTATATCACATTCTAAATGCTTGAATTCAACCATTATTAAATTTCTTCCAGCTTCCCGAGAGAGAAAGATACAAAAAGAGGCAGAATTCTTCGACAAGATAGGCACAGAAAGGGAGATACTATGGAAAATACAGAGGGATGCGCGTTGCCACCTGTTATGTAGAGATCTCAAGCGATTCAACGATTTATAGCGCCACGAAATCCTATAAAACCGGGATATCAGATGCTCCTTTCCAAACGGTTGCATTACCCTTCTCGCGTAGTCGTGTGAACGATCATCGACATTTTGTCGACACGTGCGTCCAACTTTGTTACAAAACTGTTAGAAAGCCTCAAAGAGACAGCTGTTTGCTATCTTTATCGCCATTAGAAAATAGAGCAAGAACTGAAATTATAATGAAATAATTATAATGATATAAGAGCTCCTCAAACGTTGATAAAGTGAAGTCGAGTTAAATTGGACTAGAACATAATAACAAAATGTAAAATTTGTATCTGTGTTATCAATTTTCCTTACATAATCAATTTTATCAAAGTTTATCATAGAGTACTAATAATATTGATTTATGAAATAAAAAATTGTTTCTATTGTATAAAATTCTTTTTTTGATAAGAAATAGTTTAATATTCCATATCTGAAATGTAAACATAATTTAAAAAGTGATAATTGATAAGCTTCTAAAATATTAAACTTGAGGAACGCACGGTTCTAATGTGAATACTCGAGATCTAGTGATCCCTAGGATTGTTTTGATATCTAGTGGATTCCTGGATAGTCTCGTTACGTCTGATATATTAAGTACTTAAGTTACTGAATGCAATATATCAGATTGTTGTAATATTATACTTCTGATAGTAAAATATATTATATTTTCTAATTGAAACGTTTCACTTAAAAAATTTTTTATGCAAATCGAGATAATTTCACTAAACATGGAATTGAATATTGTCAGATTAACCAAGATCTAAATATATATTCCTAGTCTCCAGCTGGTGACAATTAGAGATTGGATTTCGATAAAGAATCTGTTAATAGAAACCTGTTAATAGAGAGATTATCTCAATAACGTGATCATTGAGAATCTATTAACCCGATTAGAATTCTGAATTAGAACAATTATTTATCGTTTTAATTATTATTTGTTCTTCGTATCGCAATATTTACGATGTCTTCTTGTTGAATTCCAATATTTGAATATAAAATTTAATGTTGAACAGACTAATTAATAAATTATCGGAATGAGAGACTATTGATTATTGAAATACGATTGTTTTCTCTAAAAAGAATAATTTTTCAAAAAGAGTGAAATGGAAGATCGAAAATTATTGGAAAAATAAAAAATTGTAGAAAAATAAAATTTGTTTAATTACATTGTCATGAGATTTGACAACTTTTTGTACCAATTCCAGGTCTCTGGTCATTTGTACAATTCACGAAACTTGATTTTCTGTTCCTTTTGGTGCTCGACCGCGGTTTACACGCCTATAGTCGTAAATTCGAGCGAACAAAAGTCGCTTGAAAGTAAATTCAACGAGAGAAACAATCCCGTTGAAAGTTTCGAGAACTCCAGTATATAAAAACCGAACTCTCGTTGTTCTTTTTCATCGACTGCACACTGGACACACATTTTGTTTTTCAATGAAGTATAAAACCAAACGTCAAAGATAAAACCGAATCGTAATATTATATATCCATCCATTTATTTTTAATTCTTTCACTTACTATCATATTTCGAATGTAGAAAACATTTCCACTCTCTTCACTTTTCAAAACACATTCACACTCTCACTCTAAAATATAATTCATCTCCACTCCTGAAATAATATTCAGAGATATTTTTCACAGATTTCGAGACATTAAATCTCGACATGAGTGTACAAACACACTGCTAACTCTTAAAACTCTTAAAAAAAAATCTGAAAGATATTTTAAAATTCTTTAGAATTCTTTAGAGTTCGTTACATCGAATCCAGAGCATCGAAGCTAGAGAAATAAAGAATTTAGAAGGCTTTTTCAGAATTCTTTTAGAATCCCCCAAAGTTAATTAGAGTTCTTTAGAATTCATTGGATCCAATCTAGAGCATACCTAATCGCGTCCGAAGCCAACCGAAGCGCGTCGAAGAGTTGGAATACTCTTAAAACAATCCTAAAGAATCTTTCTAAAAGTTCATCAGGGTTTAGAGTTCATTACATCCACAATCCAAGAGTACATTTAATCCGATCCAACCATCTCATTGAACGATGCAATTAGAGCAGAATCCATACACCGGCCGATCCATCGAACCACGACGACTGATCCTGATTACCATCGATACCTTGATCGATGCACGATTAGCCCCGTCCGCGAAATGGAGCACATCCCCCCTTGATCGATGCACCACGATCATCTCGACCCACGCGAAACACGAAACCTGACAGCGACAGACGACAGTTTCATCTTCAATTTTCGGCCGGGCAAGTTCGTAAGTGGCTCAAGGCAATAGGCACTTCCGGAATGGACAACTAAGTTTCACGAAGACGGTTAACTTTCATACCGGTGATTGCATCGGTTCAACCTATTTCCAAGGATTTCCTCGAGGATCCACCGGGGCGAATTCTTGGACAACCATGGGATAGCTGCGAATCGCGCACCGGCTGCGACTACACGATCCGAATACGGTTCCTTGGAACGTGTTCGAACTGGGATCGGGTTGTTCGACCGGATTCCGGACGAAAAACCTTCCTCGACTCTCCCGATTCACACAAGTTCCTTTTAGCCCCTATCCGTTTCTTGCTACGTGCGAGAAGAAGTTGAGATCACGCTTGAAGGTTCTTGAACCGATGCGCGAGAATATTAGAGGGATATAAAAGTAACTGGAGGATTAATGTAGATTTCTGAACAGATTTTGACGTTAGTTTCGATACGAGAGAATCATTTGGTTTTTGGTGATTATATGTGAAATTAACGAAAGATATGGATAAAAAAATATTTTAAACGGTGTAACTTCGATCGAAGCTGATTATTATTATTATTATTATTATTATTTTCTTCTGAAAATTCGAACATTGATTCTATATTTTACGATGGAGGGAGAAGACGTGATTTCTCTTCTTTTTTACAATTCTGTGTTTACAACTTTTCAACGAATCGAAGAATAATGACAAAAAAAAAAGTAATGATAAAAAGATATTTATTTATAAAGAAAGTAGTATTTATTAAAACGATATTCAGATACTTTACATAACACGATTTTTCTTATAAGAGGATCTTCTTGCCGGGTTGGGATTAAGGTCCTTTTGAAATTTCTTTTCCCTCGTACGAGAAAACTTTGCTGGTCCCCGAAGTGATGTAAACGTGTACGATATAGATGTAATATTGAGAACGGTGTGAGAATTGAAAAAAAGATCACTCCCAAGAGATGGAAAGGAAATATTTACGTGACAGGAACTCAGTTTTTTCCGAGTAGTTCTGAAAATTTAATACATTTATCTACAAATTTCGTATAATTTTTGTAAAGTATAAATTTAAAAAATTCTAAAATTCTAAAACGAACGTAGAGTAATTTTAAAATAATTGTACCATAAAAAAAAATATATAAACTTCTCTTTAAAAAATTTTTTCATACATTTATAATTGAATCAGAAATTTCATCTTGCTGCTACTTGATCGAGAATAGAGAATGGTGTGCAGCATAGAGAAAAGGAAGTCTCATTCAAAACGAGCTTTGTCAAGAACAAAAACTGATATACGCATTCAAGATATCTGCATAGAGTGGACAACTTGGTCGAGTAGAATCCTTTGACATTTACCAGAAAGACTAACAATCGGTGGATCGATTGTCGAACCAATACACATGACATTTCTATCGGGGGTTTCACATTATCCGATGTTATATCGTAAAACTTTGTTGGAAACTGAATATGTGGTTTTATCTGTAGACGATCATTGGTATCGTGAAAAGATCATTTTTTTTTTTTTGTCATCATTTTTACGAGTACAGCAAATATTTTCAAAAATTTATTTTTAACGTATCGTATTTTTCCTTTTTTTTTTTTTTGTCAAACTCTCTCATGCATTATTCTTTATTTTTTATGAACGATAAAATGGCCACTTTTTTTCAACAATTTTTTTTAATAACTTTAATAACTGACCGATAAGATCGCACAAAGTCCACTTTAATATTTTTTTCGCTTCAAAAACGTTTTGCCCTTTCATTATTAAAATACTCAAATGCGAAAGGGATGAAATATTTAGGAAAAAACTGACTTTCCATGCTTTTTTAAAATATTAAAGTGCCACTGAAAATTTAGGAATTTTTTTCAACTGTCATTTTAAAAGAACAACTGTTAACAATATTTCTCGATGTATTTTAAACATATAAATATTTATAACAATAAATCATTTTGTTTACTTTCAATTTTTTATTTTCCCAAATAAGAAAAGCTTTCTACAATTCAAAGAAATCAATATGGTTTCTTCCACTCAGAAACACTCAACATACAATTTTCAAATTCACACTTCAAAAATTATTCTTAATGCTAATCTCGTTAGAAAAAGCTCAACATCAGCAACAACAAAAGAAACGAACGAAGCTTGAAGAAGCCACAACGACGATTACTTGACGAAGATCAAGAAAGATTTATCGGTGGATGATCCATCAAGATATTGATTGGCGACAAATCATATGCGATACCGCATTCCTCGAGCGGAAAACGATCTGGAACATCTTTCGTGGGGGGGGGAGGGGAAGAGGGATTTATCGTCGCGTGCCGGCACCCTCTAAATTAGCGACATTATTTTACGTAGGCGAGATGGTCCGAGGTCACCTCTGTGTCACCCTGCAACCCTGTGTCGGGGAGAGCCGAGATTGC